CATGGGGTCATGAAGAGTCGGACACAACTTAACGACTGAACAACAAAAAGGCCAGTGGTTGTGATTTAATGGACCTAAATCTTTTAGATGGCCATAGGTATTACTAAATAAGCATGATTAAGGACAAACAGGAGTCCTCAACTTTTCTGTATCCATGGGCACGATGGACATTTTGAGAAGATGTTGTGGGCACTCAAAGAAAGTGGCTGCTCTTCTGTGAATTACTGCCAGAAGACATAATGATGAAACCGTGCCTTGCTATTCCTTTCTAGCTTTCCATAGTGCTCATTGTCAATCCCAAATTCTTTTTCTTTTTTTAAGGTGGATATATTTACAAAGCCACAGCGTAGCAGCCACTCATCATCTTTATTTTTTAAAGCTGCCTTGGGAGTTAGATGGAATTCAAGGGTTTTCTGGGAAATAAAGATGACCCTGCAGGCTGTTGCACCAAAGGCAGGGGCACAAAGATGTTGGTGGTAGAGGTCCCAAATTCAGTGAGAAAGAAATCAGGTGCCAAAATAGAAGGGGGGGGGGGCAAGAAGGGAAAAGTAGAGGGAAATTTACACAGGCTTTAGTTTTAGCAATGCTTTGCTTTGAGCTGCATGTACCAACCAATAAAGGAGTATTTATCTGAACCAAGTCTGGTTTCATGAGAATTCTTCCGGAATTGGGGTTTGGACTTTGTGGACTTGACATTGGGGATCAGGCGCATCCATGGGAGAGTCCAAAAAAGACAAGATGACATGTGTGAAGTGGTAAAAAAAGGGAGGGCCTTGAATTGTATGATTGCAACTGCCATATTGACTTTTTTTTTTACCCTCCCCCTCCCCCAATGCTCCTGTTGGGGGTACCCATTCTGGAAAATAATAATATGTATTTTAAAGTAAAAGTAATAAAAGGAGCCTTTGTAATTATAAACATTTCATAAGGAGAAAAAATGGTACTAGAAGTTACATCTGTCACCCTAAATCAGAACATGGTCATTTCAAGCCAAGAAGTGGTGTCTGACCTATTTGTTGCCTCTTCCTTACTTGCCCTAACCCTGCCCTAACCCTCATTTGCTCCCCAGGATCTGAATGTCTTAAGATTCACCCATGGCTGAAAAATTAAATAGAGCAGGGGAGACATGATTATAGATTAAGACCAATATTATGGAACAATTTGCTCCTGGCCATAAGAGTTTGACATGGAAGCTTTTAATAATTTTTAAGCTCTAAACGTCCCCTGAAAACAACTGTTGTTTTGCTGTCCTGCAGCCATCAGATGGACCATGATCCATTGCTTTTATGTACTATAGGGCTTAAGGAATTTTGTCTATTATCACAGTGTCCTCCCCAAGATGCTGTACTCCATTCAGTACAAAATGAGTTGCAAGCACCTTTCTACTTTATTTTTCATTGCATCAAAGTCTCATGGCTTCTATGATGTTCAGTTTCTCCCCAATCCACTATTCACTATTTCAAAGCTAACCATGCCAATCCCAGTCTAACTATTAAAGCCATTTACAGGCTGAATTCATGCACAATATTAAGCCATAATGTAGTTTTTCTGGTCTGACTCAGTGCAGTGCATGAACTCAGCTATCTGCGCTTTATAAACTGTCTATGGCTTGTTATTATGCACGAATCCAGATATTAAGGCTTAGTCAATAAAGATGGATAAAAAATCATTTAGCTTGCAAGAATTCAGCCAAGGAAACTCACACACAGTACCTATTAGGCCTATGGTTTGTGATCTAACAAAGAATATGAGAAGACTTATGCTTCTACATACAGACCACTCCTAATGGAGAACAACGATACACTGCATTTTGATTTAAATAATCTGCTGCATTCATTTACAGTTCATTGTTTGTTCCTACACATTCAGTTCCTATGCTTCTGCTGTTTTAGCACAATATAACTAGTCTTCACCAATTTACCTCCTGTAAATTTAATGGAACAATGAACAGAAAACTGCAAAAATGAAAAGGCCAGTTCTGCCACACAGGAGCTATGTGCTATGACATGTATAAAGTAATTTTATTTGTAATACTTATAGAAAAAAATCAGTGTTTTTTTCTTTGGCATCATTTGTTGAACAATTCAGGATATATCTCACCTTTTTCTCTTTTATGGAATGTAAGACCATTTCCAACACAAAGACTCATTAACTTTTCAAGTAATCATAAAACATAACATTATTAA